CTGCCAAGGCTTTCGCCAGTAACTTCATTTTTTCCCTCGCCATGCAGTTCCATGAGTCTGCCAACTAGAAAAGCAGGTGGAAAAGAGAATTACTTACTGTCAAGTTTGGGTTTTTTTAGGACCTTAACTTTACGAACTAATGCATCGCTGAGTGGATAGAGCTTGCTCCCTGCTTTACGGCAATCACTACCTATTGAATCAGGAATTCTGAAAAATATAAAAATGATATGCTTACAATTTCTCAACAACACCTTTTAGGTCACATGTGGCGACTTCACGATTAATGACCTCAACCATCCGGGCTCGTATTCGTTTTATGCGGCTCGCTTGGGCATACGTTCGTGGAGTGCTCAGAGCATTTTGCTTCTTCGTAAAAGCGATAATGAAAAACCTCAACAGGTAGCCATCCGTAGTCTTTACATCTGCATGGACCTCGATGGTAGACTGCCACTTTTTCACGAGAGAGCATAGCTTATCCCTCGTAAGAGTCATTCCGTAAAAATTAGTGAGGCAATGACGGCCCTGGACATCTTCAACCTGTAGTTTAAACTTTCGAAAAGATTCATCGTTCTTGGCCATTAAATCGCCCAGGCTCATCAGCACAACTCTTTTTTTGAGGGCATCACTAGCTATCCTGGTGCCTTGTGTTCGCGTTACGAGCGTTCGGGCACATGTCCTCTTACTAAACATAATAGGAGCCCGGATATCATACCATTCCTTTTTTGTGAAAGGATCGTGTCTAAAAAATGTTCAGAACCGTGATTTCTAACTCACGTCTTTTTTTTCCCTCCCTTCTTTGGTCCAGTCTTTTTCGCTGCCCCTTTTTGTTGACTGGGAGGCATGGTTAACTAAATAATGGAGGAGGAAATGTGAAGAGCATGCAGAATTACACGCTAAGCGAAGGCAAAACCCGTGGGAAGACTGGAACAAAACAAATAAGTATTCAATAAAATAGCAATGCCAAATAAATGTTAAATTTTGAATCACTTTCAATAATTATGAAAATAAGATTACATTTAAAATAAGAATAAATATTAACTTAAGAAAATTTGTTAACGGTTTCACTGAATTTCTAAAATGATGCTTATATTTAAAAATAATGCTTAACTGCTTCTTTAGATTCAATATTATATGTTACTTTTACTAAATCATAAATTACTTTTTAAATATATATTAAAGTAAGGTATACTTAGAATAATTTCACGTGAATGTGAAGAAAAGCATTAGGTACTTTGTAGATTCAAAGAGTATTTAGGTTTCGATTGATCTCCTAAGACATCATGTTTAGGGAGACTTTCATTTTGTACAAAAGTGCAAGATGAATAGATATAAAGATCGATCTCATTAGTAGGCGAGGCCTGATACCTGTTGCACAGCTGTTGTTTAGCTTTAACACAATATTCATGTTAACGAAGTTCACGAGACATCCACCCTCGTTTCAAGCAAAAATGGACAGAGCTTTCGTTTAGCAAATGATGGACATAATTAGAACTGGAACTCATTCTTGTAAAAGTCTCAAATTAACACTAGGTTTGGCTCCATATTATGTTTAATATATATTCATAACTCAAAGTGATATATCTAGGCATTGGTAGATATATAATACTTTTGCTACTTCCCTTTCATATTGTTTATGGTACGCTTACCTTAATGTATATATTTTTGAGTTGACGACTATGCGCAATACCTGTCCTAAATCAGAATGATAATATTGGCAAATATCAGGTTTGGTTCATCAAGGCCTAATAGCCCAGGGCAAACAACGACCGATACTGTGTAAGGTCCAAAGGAATTTTGGTTGAGATAAAGAGGTGTAAGTGTGTATGCATGCAAGTCAAGCTACGAAACCATACCTGATAATCTCTTAGTCTATGGTCAGTAAAGTTTATCGATTAAAGTAAATGCATGACTCGGATTTCATGTTCTCGTATGTCTGGTTTGGATCATGAGTCTAATCTACATTCCTCAGTAAAGATGGAGGAAGTATCGTGGACTGCGTCAACGTGAATGTGGTATAAAAGCTAAACAGGGCAGTATAACGAGATTTATCCTTCCTCATCTGGTAAGATCGACCAATGAATTTCTTCTTCATGCACTTTCATACGAAATGAAGGTCCCCCTAACAATGTTATCTCAGGAGA